ACTAACTTACCCTCCTGATTCTAGTTAGTAGTACAAAATCAGATTTTTGCCAATTTAACATAGTTATTTCTCGGTCTAGCAGACTACGTCATAATCTATCAGCTGTGTGCTCATTTATGTTCAATTTGCCATTTATTCCAATCTGTATCAATAGATTAAGAACATATTCCACTAAACACTTATGTGTTTATTTACTGATAGTAACCCACAGCCAGGTGAAAGGTATTTTACACTTGTGAATGTATCCATGTGTAGCACTACCCCCTTAGGAGTCACTATAAATTTGGGTCCCCCTATAGTCCTGCACAGCCAGGCAACATGCATTTCCTTCCAGCCTTGCACTCCAGAGACAGTAAACAGTCCTTCAAACTTGTTTTTTTAACTTTATAAGGGAATTAAAACTTGTATGGGGATGAGGGATACATGGGATGCCCAAGGCAACTGTGAACGGAGGACAAACTCCTTAGCATGTGTACAAGTCAATTAGACAAAGTCTCTTTATGGGAAGAGCTCTCCAGCCCTCCAGGTTTACCACCTCAGACCCCAGAAGAAATCTCCCCTTCATCCAGCTGCCTGAGGAAATCTCTGAGCAAGAGGACCCATAACCTGCCTCTTAAGATCAGCAGTCCCAGATGGGGGCCAGTCAGGTTTCCCAGCCAAATGCCCTTTCCCCTTCCAGCCCAGGGGGTGTAGGGTTACTCAGTCTCTCCTGCTGTGGGTTGGTGACTGCAGTGGTATATTTAGGTTTTTTGCTGCCCTAGGCAACACAAAAGTTGGACGCCCTCCCCGGTGAAGAGAGCCTGACACTGACCAACAACATATCCCCCCCCAATCCATCACCCTAACAGAGAGGACCCGACAGTGACTCCCCCAGACCCAAGAAAGCCATCCACTAACACCCCCCCCCTTCGTGGAGAGAGCCTGACAATGATCCCCCTACCCAAGAAAGCCATCCACTAACACCCCCAACCCCTGCCGGCGACAGAGAGAAAGACATCTTCATAGCCTGGATATACCCAGGAACGACAGTCAGGCTCTACATACACCATGAGGCAGCCCGCACCTCTCTCAGATCTCACCTGGTCCCCATGCCACGTATGTCCCTTCTTCCAGAGGACAGTGCTGCCCCCCCCCAAAAAATGCCGCCCTAGGCAAATGCCTTGTGGTAAATACGCCCCTGGGTGACTGCCTTCAGGCCTTACACTGGTCTGGCTCCTTCCCAGGCTGTCCTCTCTCAAGGGACGATGAGGCTGAGAGATCCTCCCTTCCAGCTCCTCTGCCTGTAGGTAGATGCCTCTCCTGGACCATCTCCCAGGCTCCACACTCCATATTCCAGCCCAACTCTCCTCCTACTGAGCAGGCTCGGTCACACTTAAGGGCTGTCCTGACCCCATGCTAAGCTTGGAGATTCACCAGGATCCCTTGAGAGTGCAGATCAGAGCCTCCCCACCCACTAAATTCTAGAGACTTCTCCAAGTCTCTAGATCAGGGGGAGATTTCAGGGAACGGATCTGCACAGCATCACAGCCCTGACCCATATTTGATCCTTCTGGCTATTCTACCAGGCAGGTATTCAGCCTCTAACTAAAAAATAATTAACTAGCTCCCCCTAGCTTTCCTAGAAGGGGGCTAAACATGCTTGCAGTGAATTTTAGTCAATCAGGAGTGTCAGAGGGGCTGAGGTTGTTCTTGGAGTCTAAGCACAGAACAGAGAACCCAAAGATACCATGCTGCTCCTTCGAGGGTGGTGCTACATGAGCATCTGTACATGAGCTAAGTCTTTGAAACGCATCAGCCTGTTGAGACTCCATCATCTTGTTATTTTATGATGCACTGTGGATTGGAGTGTGCGGTTTCCTTGGGATGAGCTTGTACTTTTAGTCTACTTTGTGAGTATAATACTTACCTTTCTACATAATAAAGCCATAATTTAAGGATAATGCACTAGGTCAGGGTGCCCTCTGTTCTGTTTGTTGTTGCAGTATCTCTAGGCTTCCCCAGTCTTGTGAGGGTAGCACCGACTGCCCTATACCAGATATACTGCATTTCTGGGTAGGGTTTGCACGCCGCCATTCATGGCTGTGAATTACCGGGTCCCGGCCGGTGACTGTCAAGCATCTCCGACCGCGAGGAGAACTGTTTGTAAACAAAACAGTTCTCCTCCCTGTCAGCTCATGCACACTGCTTTGGATGGCTGTGCACAGCACAGCCATGCAAAGCAGTGTAATTACAGTGAAGAACACACAGCCCCATAGTAAAACACAGTTAACCCTTTGATCGCCCCTCATGTTAACCCCATCCTGCCCAGTGCCATTAGTACAGTGTCACTGTATTGGTGTCACTGGGGATGTCAGTGGCATCAAGTCCGTTCCCCCCAGTGTCAGAATGCCTGCCGGAGTCCCACTATAAGTGGCTGATTACTGCCATTACTAGTAAAAATAAAAACTCCAGTATCTATACCGCCATTTTTAAACGCTATAACTTTCATGTAAACCAATTAATTCACACGTATTGGGATTTTTTTTTTAGCAAAGACATGTTGCAAAATACATTTTGGCCTACATTTATGACAAATTTTTTTTTTATACTGGATATGTTTAATAGCAAAAAGTCAAAAATATTGTTTTTTTCTCTCAAAATCGTTGCTTTTCTTGTTTGTAGCGCAAAAAAATTTAAAAAAAGCACAGGCGATCGAATACTACAGAAAGCTCAATTCGTGGGGAAAAGAAAAAGGATGTAAATTTCATTTGGGTGCAGGATTGCATGACCGCACAACTGTTAGTTAAAGTAACGCAGCGCCGTAAAGCAAAAAATGGCCTGGTCAGGAAGGGGGGTAAATTCTCAGGAGGGAAAGTGGTTATGGATAATGCACTAGGTCAGGGTGCCCTCTGTTGTGTTTGTTGTTGCAGTATCTCTAAACTTCCCCAGTCTCCTGAGGGCAGCAAGGCGAGAGAGCATCTTATGAAAGCCAGGATATGATTGCAGCCTACTGACATGTTTGGCCCATTCTCCAAGCGCAGGAGCTTTAAAGCGGAGTTCCACTTGAAAAAAAAATAAAGTAAAAGTCAGCAGATACAAAAACTGCAGCTGCTGACTTTTAAAATACAGCCACTTACCTGTCCCTGGGTCCAGCAGTGTCCTCACCACTGCTGGTTTCACCAGCCGTCTTCTCTCCCTGGCACTGGCACCTTCAGTGTGGGCACCTGGCTGTGACAGTTTGCGGCTTCACAGCAGGGTGCCCACTGCGCATGCGCGAGAAGTTCTGCACTTTGTGAATAGCCCTGTAGTCTTCTGGGACCTGTCACGTGTCCCAAAAGACTACGGGGAGAGAGGGGGGATGACAACTTCCGTTTCCGATTGCCTAGGCCAGGGGTAGGCAACCTGCGGCTCTCTAGCTATTGTGGAACTACATTTCCCATGACGCATTGCAACATTACAAAACTGAGTTAGTTATGACTTGCAGAGGCATGATGGAACTTGTAGTCCTGCAACAGCAGGAGAGCCGCAGGGTTCCTACCCCTGGCCTAGGTGATCGCAGCGGAAGTGGGAGCAAGTACCTGTCAAGTTCGGGTACCCATTCCCCCCCTTAATGCGGAGCAAGGGACAAAGGCTAAGGCCGGCCTTACATGGGTCAATTTTCAAACTACTTTTCGTTCTAAAATCGGACTTAAGAGTAATCGGCCGATTTTCACTCTGTTAGTGGGGCAATTGTACTGACCGATTTTCCTGGTTCTTTCCCATTTTGTTTCTCAGGCATGCTTGAAAATTCATGAAAAACTACCAATTTTCGAAATCATTGATGGCACCATCGGATTACATAACAAATTATGTTTTTGATTTTCGATAGAAAAATCGTTTGGAATCGACCCATGTATGGCCTGCTTTAAAGTGGAACTTCCCCTTTTGGGTGGGGCTCCGCTGTAAGGTTTTTGCAAGGAAGTTCCAGAGCGGCTGACCTGCCACAAACTGACCCCTCTGGTTACATCACACCTGAGCTGCTAAACAGCCCCTGACAAACCATTAGGGTGTAGCGCCCCCTAGCTAAACTAGGAGGGTACTACAGGTGGGTGGTCATAATGTTATGGCTGATGAGTGTATAAGTGCCTGGACCAAGGTGTAAAGAAACTAAATATGTAAAATACGAAGGTGTCGGTGCTGGTGCATTGGTTAGGTCTTGCAGCCTGGTAACAAAAACTGTCACAGTCCAGCCCATGAGGAGCAGTGCAGAAAAAAGCCACGGCCTAGTGCAGTGTCACACTGGGGCCCCCAGGACACCACTCCCAGGGGGCGCTTCATACCGCGAGCTCTCCGCCGTCCCAGCACCTGACCAAATAATGTAGCAGTCATATCAGGAGGGGGCCAGCAGGGAAATACTCCCATCCCCCACCTTCACCCTCTCAGGACCAGGGGCTGACTGACCATTTGAAAACTCGGGCACTCCCCGGGGGCTCGGGGTCAGTAGGGGGCCCCATGAGATGCCCCTCTGTACCTTTTTAATAGGCTTTTTTGAGTTTGGGCAAGGGCACAGGGGCCCCATGATCCCCTATTGCCCGTGGGCCCCATGAGTTGTCAGTCCGCCCCTGCTCAAGACCCCTCATACCAGCAGGAGCACTATACAGCCAGACTGGTCTGGTCTCCTCCCACCAAGTATACAGCTCTGAGGCTGAGACTCTGCAGTACGTCCAGCTGTTTATCCCACATCATGGAACATGAGAAGACTGCAATGTCCGCGATCTCATATGTACTCTTCTGAAAACATCCCCCAGCTGCTCCGCTCCCAGGACACGCCCACAGTGAGCGGACGTCACCTTCCTCCTACGAGGAGAAACGTGTCCAACAATCAACGGGGACCCGCCTCCACAAGGCCCCGCCCATACCCTCGCTGACTCCCACCAATGCTCCCCGTTCTCCCAACCCCTTCTAAGGGACGTAGCGCCTAGGCCACGCCCTCATCAATAAAGCATTTCCACTGGAGGTGACGAGCGCGGAAAAGCTGAAAGATGTCGGCGGAGGTTGCTGTGGACGGGCCGGACAGGAAGAAGAAAAAGCGGGGACACCTGGCGGCGTTGGTCCTGGCCCGGGGCGGCAGCAAGGGGATCCCACTGAAGAATATCCGGGCACTGGCCGGGAAGCCGCTCATCGCCTGGGTGCTGCGGGCCGCCATAGACTGCGGACACTTCGATAGGTCAGTGACACGCCCACTTAATGTTATGGAGAACGCCCCGCTCACACGGGGAGCCAATCTACTGCTAGACAGGCTGCCCTGCCCATTTAATGGGTCCAATCCGCTAATAGTAGTGGTGTTGCCCCACCTACTCATGTGGTTTTTCTGTGTGTGCTGGATTCACTGATTAATGTTCTGGTTCTCTGTAGGAAGAGGACACATCCCTGTCATAATCCTGTATTGTCGTGTGTCATTGGTGGAGGGAACATCCCCCATACTATTGAAGAGGAGGGGGATCTACATAGACACACTATACTGCCAGAAGTATTGGGCCAGCCCTCCAAATCATTGGATTCAGGTGTTCCAATCACCTCCATGGCCACAGGTGTATATAATCAAGCCCCTAGACATGCAGACTGCTTCTACAAACATTTGTGAAAGAATGGGTCGCTCTCAGGAGCTCAGTGAATTCAAGCGTGGTCCCGTGATAGGTTGCCACTTGTGCAATAAGTCCATCCCTGACATTTCCTTGTTACTAAATATTCCACGGTCAACTGTTAGTGGTATTATAACAAAGTGGAAGCAACTGGGAACAACAGCAACTCAGCCATGAAGTGGTAGGCCACATAAAATGACAGAGCGGGGTCAGGGCATGCTGAAGCTCACAGTGCACAGAAGTCTCCAACTGTCTGCAGAGTCAATAGCTAAAGACCTCCAAAGTTCATGTGGCCTTCAGATTAGCACAACAACAGTGCATAGAAAGCTTCATGGAATGGGTTTCTATGGACAAGAAGCTGCATCCAAGCCTTACATCACTAAGTACAATGCAAAGTCCGATGCAGTGGTGTAAAGCACACCGCCACTGGACTCTAGAGCAGTGGAGATGTGTTCTCTTGAGTGATGAATCACGCTTCTGTCTGCCAATCCAATGGACGTGTCTGGGTTTGGCTGTTTCCAGGAGAATACTTGCCTGACTGCATTGTGCCAAGTGTAAAGTTTGGTGGAGGGGGGATTATGGTGTGGGGTTGTTTTTCAGGGGTTGGGCTTGGCCCCCTTAGTTCCACTGAAAGGAACTCTTCAGGTGTCAGCTTACCAAGACATTTTGGACAATTTCGTGCTCCCAACTTTGTGAGAACAGTTTGGGGATGGCCCCTTCCTGTTCCAACATAACTGCGCACCAATGCACAAAGCAAGGTCCATAAAGACATGGATGAGTTTTGGGTGAAGGAACTTGACTGGCCTGCACAGAGTCCTGACCTCAACCCGATAGAACACCTTTGGGATGAATTAGAGTGGAGACTGCGAGCCAGGACTTCTCATCAGATATCCGTGCCTGACCTCACAAATGTGCTTCTGGAAGAATGGTCAAACAATCCCATAGACACACTCCTAAACCTTGTGGACGGCCTTCCCAGAAGAGTTGAAGCTGTTATAGCTGCGAAGGGGGGGCAACTGAATATTGAACCCTACGGAGCAAGACTGGGGGGCCATTAAAGTTCATGAACATGTGAAGGCAGGCCAGTACTTTTGGCAATATCTGACAATCTGTAAAGCCCACACTTCACATTGTGTTAAAAATCTGCTTCAGTTCTAATATTTCCTGCATTATATAAGCCCTAACAAACTTTGTTCCTTTTTGATTTGTTAATCCATTGAAAGTGTTTTTCTTATGTGTTTAACACTTGACCTCCAGAAGATTTACCTCCCCCTTCCTGACCAGGATATTTTCTGCGATAGAGCGCTGCGTTACTTTAACTGACAATTGCGCAGTCATGCAGTGCTGTAAATACATGACATTTATCAATTAAATTTGTCATTTTTTTCCCCACAAATAGCTTTCTTTTAGTGGTATTTGATCACCACTGGATTTTTTTATTTTTTTGCGCTATAAATGAGAAAAAAACACAGACAACTTAAAACAAAACCCCAAGCAATATTTTCTTTACTTTTCTGCTATAAAACATTTAAAATGAAATTTAATAAATTTAGGCTAAAACGTATTCTGCTACATACTTTTGGTAAAAAAAAAAATCCTGATAAGCGCTTGATTGGGGGTAAACATCTAAGGCAATCAGAGGGTTAATTGTGTGCCTAGCCAGTGTTTTTGTTTGTACAGTATACTGTTTTTACTAGGAAATCTGTTAGATTTTATTCCCTGAATAAAATCCAGTAGATCACCATTGACATAACCGCTCTGCTTTGTTTACATGGGCAGAGCTGTACTTGGTCATCTCCTCGGCGATCAACAGATGCCGATGCTCATCCATTGGCCAGCATCTATTGATCGGCTTCTGCTGTGTCCAATCACAGCACAAGTGGTTCTCCAGTGACAGGCATGCGCCCCCCCCCCCTCCCCAGTGGCAGAAGTGCAAAATCACGTTTATATGTGATTTTTCACAGAACGTCTGCCCTGTAGCAGTAAATATTCTGTAGAGCAGATGGAGAGTGGTTAATAAGTGAAAAAACAAACAAACAGTTGATCCTGCCAGAAATCTTCTGGGCTGAGACCCTCCTGTGCTCTCTGCCTGTGCTTCACTGTTATCTGTTATATTCTTCCCATCTATGTATGTCTGTGGACTACAGCTCCCATCCCTACCCCCATCTTATGAGAAGAGAGGGAGATGTTCTGTAGTCCAGTCCTAGTGTGACAATACTGTTCTTCCATAAATACAGTACAGTTAGTGTTGTCCGCCTAGGACAGGAAGTTTGTTGTTGCTAAGATCAGGTGAAAATAAAGCTTCAATAAAGAAAACAAATGAGATCTGGGCATACACCAGTAGAACGTCAAACAAAAATTGGTACGACAATTCTCATACCATTCAAATGTCATTTGAAAGATTTTGTTTGCTTTTAATATTCAATTTTGTAAAGAATGGACTTTACTGGGCAAAAACCACATTCATTGTTAGACATTCGTACATTTTAGAAAACAATTCCATCCTGTTGTTTTTTTCATCTTCGCACCGCTGTGGTCATAAACGCACGTCAATTTAACCTGACAAATGATTAGAAAATCAAATAAATGTTCTTACAGCAAAAAATGTTGAACAAAATTCTAATAATGTATACCCAGCTTTAGGGACTGCTCCGTTTTAATACAGGATATTTTTATTCTTGAGTTTAGATATATTGTACTTGACCCAAGGCTATTTATCTCATACATGTAAAAATCATGAAAACATTTTTTTTTTTTCCTAGAAAATTTCTTAGAACCTTCAAACATTATATATTTTTTTAAACCGAGGCTCTAGAGAATAAAATGGTGGGCGTTGCAATATATGTATAGTGGCATTGAGGTGGTTATCAAGTTTAATCCGTTTAGTGAAATGAATATGGAAATTAACTAAATGGCAGTGTACAAATTTAAAGTGATAACAATAAACAAAAATCAAAATATTGGTATTCAGTCCCACCGTGTGAATTTAAGTGCAATGGTACTGTATCCTTAACGGTGAACCTCCGTACTGCGGTGACAAGTGCTTCACTGCGCTCACACTGGTGCCCCACATGGATGTATATTCACCATCCTCTCATGACCACCTATCTCTAGGTTAGTCAAATGCGCTTTTGGGACTATCCCAGTATGCAATATGGTATTGTTGGCCAGTATTCCTTCACTCTTAACCGTGGTTGCTGGGGGTAACCAGTAACCCTCCACTAGGGCTGCATCAATACCAGAAAGCTCCTCTACTTCACAGGCAGTAATTCATATTTTCAGTATAAAATAAAATAAAACCAGACATCCATAGTGTAAAACCATAAGAGCTTTAATAATGGGGTCAAACAATAAAAATGGCACTCACAAAAACAGTGCCTTTCCTGGCACTAGGTGTATTCAGCCTTGTTATTCTGAATGGGAGTTAAAAAGGCCGCCGCGTTCCAAACAGCGGAAGTGACGGCGGAAGTTGCATCATAAGCCCTCGATGCGTTACGACCAATAGATCATCTTCAGGAAGAAGAATTTAAAAAAAAAAAAAAAAAAAAAAATCTGGACTGAAACTGAAAATTCAGGATGCATTTGGCTGAAAACCGAAATGGACAGTTTTTGATTGAGATATATATATATATATAGTATTTGACTAATTAATATCATGAATTTAAATGAATATGAATTTATTTTCAGCACCTTTTTGGCCAATAGACTGCTTTCACACTTTCATTACCGTACTGTGCTTGAAGTCTTATGTAGACATCCACCGGTTTTACGCCTTCGTTCACAAGAAACTCCATCATCACATGCTGTTCCATGCACGCACTAACACTATTGTCTGTCATCTTGATTACTGGTCTCTGGACTGGCCCACGACATGTGCGCCACCATCAGTAATAGGACACACTTGCCACTTACTACTTTAAGATGCACCATCACACCAAGTCCCGATTTGACTTGAACACCCCTCGTCCCTGTGTTTTTGTTGTTTTTTTTTTAATGTATGCACCTATATTAACTGGGAGATCTATTGAGAGTGACCAGAGGGAAAGGGAGGTTTATATTATCTGGAAGGTAATGTTATCCAGCAGCTGGGAAACAAGTAGAATAAATTATTATTTTTTTATTAAGATCATAGGCTGTTGAATTTGATTCTGATTTGAACTTGTATGGAATCTTGATCACCAAGTCTCCCAATTCCCCGCATTCTCCCCACCAACTTCCCCCTACCCCACTCATCCAGGCACAGACTGGTCCCTCTTGATTAGTTCCTTTTACAAGTGAATCGGTGTCAAAGTGTGAAATCTCAGCTCTGAAATCTCATCACTGATTCATTGATGGTTTTTCTCTCTTGCAGTGTGTGGGTGTCCACAGACCATGATGAGATTGAGAAGGTGGCCAAGCAGTATGGTGCAAAGGTTCACCGGAGAAGCCCCGAGGTCTCCCAAGATGCAACCAGCTCCCTGGAGACCATACAGGAGTTCCTGAAGCATCACCCAGGTTCGTCATCCAGAATGTATTTCACAGGACTACAATCATTTTACACTGAGCTGTCACCAGTGACGATGTAATTGGGTAAAGTAGCGAGGAAGTGCTGATGTATGGGTCAGGGTGGACTTTAAAGTCGTTGTAAACCGCAGCAGAAGCCATATGTCCCCAGTTTTGCTAAGAAAGGAGCATCCAGCAATCTTAGAGCATTGTCAAACCCACAACCGTAAAATCAGTATGTATATGCAGTAAAGCATGCTTGATATGCTCATTGGCATTGTGTAAAAAGGCTGTTTGATCCTGTCTTCTCTGATCCTCCATTTCTTCTATTGTCCCCAATTCATCTGCTAATACTACAGAGCTCTAGGAGTCACTCTGCACATGCTCAGTTTACTGTGTATTGCTAGAGTTTTTTTTTTTTTTTTTCTTTATGTGGGTGCATGTGATCAGTACAGGGCCAATTGGCACTGTCCAGACAAAGGGTCAGGTGTTATGCAGCCTCATAGGACAGTCAGAGGAGAATGAAAACTCCTACAAGATTATCCAGTGCTCAGCTGGACACTGGTAGAAGTCACAAGACTGCTGTAACTGCTGATGAGAAAAGTTATTTAGCCGTTTATATTTACTAAAATAATTGCATTTCCATGTTGTGTGTACTGTGGGAGACCAGGTATAGTGGATGCAGGGTCCGGGAGACCAGGTATAGTGGATGCAGGGTCCTGGGTTTAGTAACACTGTAAATTCTCTCCGCTTCCCTGCAGTGTTAACAAGTGACACATTAAAGAAATTTGTGTTGCCACACCCTCACTGCTGTGACTGACAGACTACATGGTTCACTTGCTCGAGCATGAGAGAAGGGGGGGTGTGTGTGTCCAGAATTTGCTCAGATTACTCCCCCTTCCTCCTCTGGCTCACCCAGGATTGGTTGCTTCCCACCTGAGCATTATTGGAAAAGATGACGTCAGGTGGTGCTTTCCTGGATCTCAGATTGGTTGGTATTCGTGGGGGTGTGGCCAGCCGACGGGGGGGTTTGCGCTGCCCCGCTGTCAGCCTGGAAATCGGCAGAGGAAAGCTGCTAAGCCCGCTAGTGTGATTGGTAGGGGGAGTGTACAAATTGGAGTAGAGTCCCATGACTAGTCACGACTAAACCTCCCAAGCTCCGGCATGCAGACATGCCGACGGATCAGAGATTTTCTGAGGGCTGTGACAGGTGCAGGAAACAAAAAATGAAGGTACAAGTACTGCAGTTTGGATTTACATTGTAAAAGCATTGATATGGTATATGTCGTTTTTTATTTATTGAACTTGAGGTTTCCAACACTTTAAGGAGATACTGTCACTCTGTCCTGAATTGGCGAGGTGACGTAACATGGTCTGATTTAAAAGCATTGGGGTTCTGTTTTGATTCATGGAGACCTGCCAACCATTGCTCTCTTTCAGCCATGCAGCCATGCAGAATATATTCTTTGTTTATCATTCTATACTGCTGTAATGGGATACAGTGTGGTGTGTTTTTTTTTTTTTTTTGTTTCCCTTCACAGAGGTAGACATAGTTGGGAACATACAAGCCACATCTCCGTGTCTGCACCCCAACGACCTCATCAAGGTGGTGGACTTGATCCAGAACCAAGGCTACGACTCTGTGTTCTCTGTGGTCAGGCATCATTTATTCCGCTGGAAGGAGGTGAAGGCAGGTGAGGTGTTTGTACTTTCATCATATCCTCAATCTTTACCTTTTGACCATAAAGAAAAGATCAATTTGGGGAACTGCAGATAAAAAGGTTCTTTATTTTAAGAGTTATGGTAATTGAGAGTTTTCTGGCCCAGAAAGGGATTCTAAAATTATAAAGCAGGTTGTGTCTAAAACCTGTTTGGATGCTTTCCTCAAATAAAAATAAATAAAATACATTTTTGTGTATTTTGCAGGAGAGACAACGGTAGCAGAGAACTTTACCCCAGCACGCCGCCCACGTCGCCAGGACTGGAAAGGAGAGCTTCATGAGAATGGATCCTTTTACTTTGCAACCAGAGAGCTGCTCACTAAGGGATTACTACAGGTCAGAGCCTATTCTGTGCTCACAATCCACTTGCAGAACTGTTACTGTAACATTTTTATGTTGTCCCTTGGGTGGAAGGGAGAGATGCTGGAGTAGAGAATATTTATTAATGGAAGGTGGCATTCTCATACTGCAACAGTATCCATGATCTTCTATTAGATATATTACTGTTTGGCCTGTGACTTCTTGTCTTGTATTCTCTTATTTTTAGGATGGAAAGTTGGCTTACTATGAAATGAAGCCGGAGCACAGTGTGGATATTGATATCGATCTAGACTGGCCCATTGCAGAACAAAGGGTTAAAAGGTGAAATCAATATTTTGTGATCATTTCACCTTTCTACTGAAGCTTCTTTTTTTTTTTTTTTAATTTAGTGTTTTGTCAAAGAGTTTTAGGTTGCATACAGTTTTTTTTATAGGTGACATCCATTACCATTTACAAGCAAATGAAAGCCCAATTTCCTCTGAAAAAAGGACAAGGTATATTTCATCTGAATACACTAAGTAGGCAATTACATGTACAATATTAACACATGTCAAAGTTGCAAAACTGTGTTGAGGTGTTAAGTTTTTTTTTTTGTTTTTTTTTTTTTCCCCTTTAATGCTACCTAAAATACACTGACCCAGAGCTTTGATACCAGCCTTTGACTCTGGCCTCGACCTTCGACCTAAGCTCTCATGAGCAGGGCCAAACTGTTGGTACTGTATAAATCCTGTATAGTAATAACAAATCTAGCCCTGACACTAACCTAAATCAAACCCTGTTTCGTCTTTATTTTATTAATACCGTATATACTCGAGTATAAGCCGAGTTTTTCAGCACATTTTTTGTGCTGAAAAACGGCCCCCTCGGCTTATACTCGAGTCAACGTCTGCAGGGGGCTGCTGTCTCTTACCTGGCTCCGGTCCCACAACGATCCGGTCCAGGAAGCGCGGCTGCTCCTTCATTCGGTTCGTCCACTGGATGTTCGCGCGGCTGCTCGGCTCCGCCTTCTCACCGCTGATTGGCCTCCAGAACTGTAGCTCAGGAAAGGCACACAGGCGGCCAAACACCGGTGAGGAGGCGGAGCTGAGCGGCCCCGCGAAAATCGAGTGAAGGAGATGCAGGTAAGTGTGCCGTGCTTAGGTGCTGCTGCAACCACATATGCTGGCTGCAGCAGCACCATACTGGAACAGGGGTCAACAAGTGTCAGTGGGAGGAATAGTGCCCCATCATTGGTGTCACTGATACCAATGATGGGGCATTATTCCTCCCACTGACACCAACGATGGGGCACTTTTCCTCCCCCCCACTGACACCAACGATGGGGCACTATTCCTCCACCCCCCCACTGACACCAATGATGGGATACTATTCCTCCCACTGACACCAATGATGGGACACTATTCCTCCCACTGATACCAAACATGGGGCACTAATCCACTGACACCAATAATTGGGTGCTATTCCCCCCACTGATACTAATGATGGGGCACTATTCCTGCCACTGATACCAATGATGGGGCGCTATTCCTCCCACTGACACCAATGATGGGGCGCTATTCCTCCCACTGACACCAATGATGGGATGCTATTCCTCCCACTGACACCAATGATGGGATGCTATTCCTCCCACTGACACCAATGATGGGATGCTATTCCTCCCACTGACACCAATGATGGGGCACTATTCCTCCCACTGATACCAATGATGGGGCACTATTCCTCCCACTGACACCAATGATGGGGCACTCTTCCTCCCACTGACACCAATGATGGGGCACTCTTCCTCCCACTGACACCAATGATGGGGCACTCTTCCTCCCACTGACACCAATGATGGGGCACTCTTCCTCCCACTGACACCAATGATGGGGCACTCTTCCTCCCACTGACACCAATGATGGGGCACTCTTCCTCCCACTGACACCAATGATGGGGCACTCTTCCTCCCACTGACACCAATGATGGGGCACTCTTCCTCCCACTGACACCAATGATGGGGCACTCTTCCTCCCACTGACACCAATGATGGGGCACTCTTCCTCCCACTGGTGTTCCCACCCTCGGCTTATACTCGAGTCAATAGTTTTTCCCAGTTTTTTGTGGTAAAATTAGGTACCTCGGCTTATATTCGGGTCGGCTTATACTCGAGTATATACGGTAATAACAATAATCCTCATCAATAGTGTGTGTGTGTGTGTGTGTGTGTGTGTGTGTGTGTGTGTGTGTGTGTGTGTGTACATTATACATTTTATCCACAAGAAGAATAAGATACAATGTATTTTTTTTATTTTTTTTTTTCCCTCAAGTCAAGGAGAAAACAATACAGTGCTGTACAGCAACTGATCACTGTGATGGCCAATCAGAGGCTATCACAGTGATTAGGAACCAGCATTCTAAATATTGATATGAAACTCTGATCTGTCACTGATAGCTCGTTCTGTGTGCCAGGAGCATGCTATGTAGTGCACTCTGAGCACGCACACAGCAGCACATGTATGTGGCCCCACTGATAAAGACCCATTTCCATGAGACTGGTATGGATATTTGTACATAGTGATATTGATCCAGCTGGGGCCAATGTAACTATGCATATATACCATACCCGTGGGATCCCTGTAGAAGCTGACAAACACTACAGTAGATGCCGCTATAGCAGTGTAACCACTAACTTCCAGTTCCTTTGCTGAGCAGCTTACCTGCTGCATTGTAAATGCAGGCAATCCTTAGGCACAGATGCCATTCAAAAATGCTTTTGCATTTATTTATTTTTTTTATAAATGCAAAGCATTCTCTGATTGGACAGTCTGAAAAGCACAATAGCACTGCCCCGTCCAATCAGAACACTTTGCATTCATTGAAAAAATGCAAAGTTGTCGCTGAATGGCGCTTGTGCTGCGCAGGCGATTTCCTGGGGTCACAATGCAGCAGGGCAGACACTTGGCACAGGATCTGGAAGTTAGAGGAAGTCACTGCAGTTTCAATGTTTACTATAGGCTGCACTAGAAGCTGAAAATCCCTTTCTCAACTAGAGTTCTGTGGAACCCTAGGGTTCCTCCAAAGGTTGCTAGGTTTGCTTGAACATGAGTAACTTCTGTCTCTCAGATAAGTAACTACTATCAACAATGATCTTTTTAGCTCTCTGTAAAAGGGGGATTCTTTCCAAGGATCACAGATCTAAGGAGCATTTTTCTAAGTGACTATCATACTAGTGTACTGTGAACTTTTAAATTGGTAACTATTCGCAGGGGTTCCCTGAGCACTGAAAATTATTTAAAGCTTTCCTCTGTGTTTAAAAAAAAAAAAAAAAAAAAAATGTTGCATGCATAGTTACATTCAAGTGTTACTAAACCCCAGACCCTGCAATTACTATATCTGGTCTCCCACAGTACACAGAAAATGAAAAAACAATTATTTTAGTAAATATAAACTGCTAAATATCTTTTCTCATCAGCAGTTAGAGCAGTCTTGTGACTTGTATCAGTGTACATCCGAGCACATGTTAAAGCTTGTAGGAGGAATTTTTCATTCTGCTCCAGGAGGATGCAGAACCCCCTGAGCTCTGTCTGGACAGTGCTGATTGCCCCTGTGCTGATCACATGCACTCACCCAAGGAAAAAAAAAACCCTCTAGCAATACACACCAAACTGAACATGTGCAGTGTGACTCCACACAATATGTCTTATCAGGAGATAAGAGGGGGACACTGGAAGAAGGGGAGGATCAGAGAAGACAGTGTTTTTTTATACAGTGCAGAGGATTAAGCCCTTAGGTTCCACAGTGAGTATAACAAGCATGCTTTACTACATATCTAGACTGATTTTACTGTTGTGGGTTTAGTAACGCTTGGATCAATGTACTAACTATGTATATACCATACCTGTGAGATCCCTCTATAACAGCCTTTCTCAACATTTAATCTAGTTTTTTTTTAATTCTAAAAATATCCACACCTAGGTTTCTTTGAAAGTGGACCTGAAAATAAAGAGTCACTAAATAATCCATTTTTTTAAAAATCCATACCTTGTATTTGTTCATCTGGATACCTTGTAATATTCGTGTCAGACCGTTTATGCCAAAAAAAAAAAAAATGTAAAACGTCTTGTGATGCCACTTTCTTTATGCGGGTGGCTACTCTGCATGTCGATGCATCCAGTTCTGGTACGTAGAAGCTCTGAAATCTGTGTTAACCACAGCACTGCCCAGACAAGCACCGAGTGACAGTGGGACTGGGATAAGAGCAGCTGCACTGATGATGGTAATAGACATGCATGTGTTCTGGTGTATACAAGCACAGTTCCTCTTTAGGCTGGCCATACACTATACAATTTTCTGTCCAATGTTTGCCCAATTTCCTTTAGATTTGCCTTCAACTATGTAGTGCAAGAGCCTGCCTAATTTGATACAACTGAAAGTGTTTAGGTATGACCTCATATTATATGGTTTTTGGTAAATCTAAACCAAAAATCTCAAGAAAATTTGTATAATGTATGGCCAGCCTTAGAGATGTAGTCTTTGTAGAGCAGCGCTTCTGACTGTAATACATGTGCCCTGCTTGTACCTCAAAAAAAGGAAGTGTATGGGAAATATCTTCCACAGATATGTAGGAAAAAGTCACTAAATATTGTTTGTGAATTAATAGGGAAGTTTTTTGTTTTATTTATAATGCTGTTTATAAACTTGTTTTTGCTTGAGGGTTTAGTGTGATTTCAAAATTTGCTCTGTTTTGGGGAACATCTAGAATTGTCATTTACTTAATCACTAAATTGAAAGATTTATCTTTTTTGTCTTGAATTCCTCCTGAATACTAGCTGTATGCTTCCTGTGTTTGAAGTGGAACTAAACATTCACTATTTTTAATCCTTATGCTGCTAGCATTATTACACAGATAGGAAAGTACCGTATATTTATATTGTTTAAAAAAAAAATGTTTAGTTGCTTCCTTTTTTTTCTGGCCTAGGCCAAAATTATATAATTTATACCAGGAGACATCATGGGCAATTTTTTTTTTTTCTTTCATGCAGTTGAGGGGCTTTCTTAACTAAGCACATCTTCACTCCTGAGTTAAGGGCAGATGGATTCCAGTAAGGAAATGCTACATGAATCATCTGCCTTTGCTCATTGAGGAGTAAGGACCTTGTTCCCTACTGGGACCTTTGATTCCATAGCCTTTTTTTCTTTTTTGCTTCTCCTCCTCCTCCCCTTTTTTTTTTTTTTTTTTTTTTTTTTTTTTTTTTTTTACCTGTGGAGATCTTCAATCAACAGCTGTGCTGGGTGACGGGCTGGATAATCTAGATCCAGTGGTCACCCTGGCCTGGCCAGTGAGCACAAGCAGACATTCAGCTACACACTAGGTTGACCGTGACTAAGCCTCATCCTGGACCGGGGCGGCCAGCGAGTTAAATGTCTTGCAGGGACACATATGACCAGGTGCCTATAGTTTGTCAGTGTTACCCTGGCCAACAGCCCCAAACTTCAGTGGAGAGGAGGATCATGGGAGCCTTACCCGCATACTCTGCTGAAGTAAGATATGTCCCCTCCCTTCCCACCACAGATGCTGTTTGGGGCACTGGTACTCCCTGGGATTGCTGGCCCTGTGGGGTCTTCTTCTCCCCTCCCTTACATGCTGACCGTGCACTGCATAGCATGTCCTAGCTCACAGGCTGAGGGCCAAGGTGTCCTGTTGGGTAGGTGCGACCGCGTCCAAAAGGGATATCAGGAACCTTCCCCCCCCCCCCCCCTTTTCTCATGTGCCCTGAGGGGTGGTGGTTTGGTTTTGGGGTTCCCTGTTCCCCCTACTTCCCCATGTGTGGTGTGCTGGGCGCTGACTGCAGTGTCCTGGGGTACTGCTGGTGGTGGAATGCTCTGCAGCAACTCCCCTAATAGAAGTAAACAGCCCTTGTGGATTTAGGGTTCCCTAACTGGCTGGAGACCCCTGGTTGTAACCATAGGAGGCACATGGAACGCCTGGGTACTTTCTCCCAACTGTGAGTTCCTGCGTATGTGTGTGCGCATGCTTGGTAACAGCTCCATTAATCTCCTGGCTTTCATCCCTGCCGAGGTACTGTGGAAGGTGTTTTTGCCATACGTGTTGGTCTTTTAATCAAATGTCTCATGAGATCATGGTATAGATTTGAGATTTAATTCAGTCTTGTTTGCAGTGGCTGATTTTTATATTCTGGCATCCACCCCTGCCCTGGACTCTACAGTGTGGTCTCTTTTTTTTCTTCAATCCTGCAGGTATGGCTATTTTGGCAAGAATCCGACTGTGGTGAAGCTGTTAGTGTGTAACGTTGATGGATGTCTGACAGATGGGCGAATCTACGTTAATCAGGAACATGAATTGATCTCCTACAGCCTGCGGGATGTAGACGGAATCCGAATGTTGCTGGACAAAGATGTGCAGGTATGTCACACATGAGGAGGGAGAGAGAGAGTTGCCAAGCTGATGGGAGTGAAGATATACAGTACAGTATGACACAAGAATGAGTCAATCGAGTTTGCTCATTTTAGATGCAAATTGTATATCCATTCTGAGTGAAACAAGCAATTCATTCCTAGAACGAGCTAATCAGAAGCTCCGTTAGGCAGATCTGGAAGCTTGAAAAGATTTTTACAGTAGTTTGGTTATTAAAGTGTGTTTCTGGGCAAAATTTCCACAAATTTTGTTCCTTTTAATAATGCTGCAGATACAGAAAAATTTGTGTAGATCTGCCAGAAACCCATTGAGCCCTTAACTTTCTGTTTGACATGACAACACTGTCTCTGCTGCACTGAAATCCCAAGCAGTGCTGGATCGCAGAACAGCTGCTCTCTAATTCTTGGAGAAGGGTTATGGGGGGGGAGAGAGAATTGACAAAACTTCTTGGGAGAGTTTTCCGCTTACTGTAGGAAGCTCACTATACAGTAGGAGCTCACTGGCTTTCTGACAGCTCACCAAGTTTTTTTCCTTCTTGCATTGTGGTTAGACACTTGGTTCTCACTTGAGATGTGTCTTGGTAGCTTCTGTCCAATCTTTTCCTTGAAACTGGTAACAGATGGCTCCATGGAAGGATGGTGTAAATGTGTAAACTGAGTTATAACAGTCTCTGATTTCATTCAGGTCCGTCTCCTCTCAGAGAGGGACATCAGTAAAACGTTGGTGTCCAATCTGAATCTGCCATGTTTGATTGAAGCAAACGTGTCAAATAAGAAGGAGGTTGTGGAGCGATGGATGGGCGAGTTGGGCCTCTCTTCCTGGAGCCAGGTGGCCTACATGGGTCAGTATTCTCCTTCCAAAGACTGTATGGGTTTGTCTTTACCTCTGGAATATGCATGGTTCACACAGAACTGTGTTTGTAACAGCTAGCAGCCACTATCTGTTGTCGTCCTGGCTGCTGTCATTGGTGCTGATCACTATAGGTGGAGAATTCCTGCATAGCGTCTCCATATATGAAAACTGCTAGAATGGACAGTAAGACCCAGTAGTACCTAGTGGATTATTTCAACCAATGGCTTTTTGTAAATATTTCCTTCTAAAGTTTCCACAGAGTGGTTTGTCCCTGCCCCTCCTACTAGGGCAAGAATTGTCTGCAGTCATTTTGTGTCTCTGCCCCTCCCACAATGGTCATATTTCCCTACCATAGTTTGTCTCTGCCCCTCCCACAATGGCGAGATTTCCCTTCAGTAGCTTGTATCTCCACTCCTCTTACTGCTGGAGGAATGTGAAGACAGATGAGGGGTTTGTCCTTATAACCTAGTCCCCTTAAAGGAATAGAGCTTTATTGTGCACTGGAGAAATGGGTTCTTTACTGTAAGAGCTACGATAATGTGGCATTTTCTGGCTTGAGAAGGAATTCTGGAATATAAAGAACAGTGATGCTCAACTTAACACGGGAGGCCTCAAGTGTGGCCCCCCCTACATCACCAAAGGGCCCCACATATGTCAGTGAATATTCAGTGTCAAAGACAGCAGACACTCAACAGGATTAGCACTTTCACCTGGCAGTACTAGGGGTCATTGGTTCGAATCCCAACCATGGCACCACCTGCCTGGAGTTTGCATGTTCTCCCTGTTCCTGCGTGGGTTTCCTCCAGGTACTCTGGTTTCCTTCCACACTCCAAAACATGCTGGTAGGTGAATTACATCCTGTCTAAATTGGCCCTAGTATGTGTATGCATGAATGTGAATTAAGGACCTTAGAGTTGTACACCCCTTGATGGTTGGTTAGGGACTGATGTGAATGTACAATATATATGTAAAGCACTGCGTAAATTGACAGCGCTCTATAAGTACCTGAAAGAAATTCTAGTCAGAGACTGTAGACAGGACACAAGATGGTCAGACTGTAGACCGGATACACAAGATGGTCAGAGACTGTGGACATGCTGCAGTAGACTGTCAGAATGTGAACACGCTATAGGAGTTGTTGGGGACTGGGTACATGCTTCAAGAGACAGAAATCATTACTACAAGGCTGCTTTCACACTGATCCATAGCAAAAATTTATATTTTTTTGTTGCATTTCTTACAGGGCATGTGACTCAAACGCAATACAGGTGCGCTTTTTTTTTTTTTTTTTTTTTTTTTTTTAATGCATTTTTACAGCATTTTCCAGTCGTTTTAGTGGGGAGGTGTGTGTGTGTGTTTGTTGCAGTTTTTTTACCCCACCAAACCTGCACCAAAAATGCAGCAAGCAGAATTTTTTAAAAAAATGCAGCGGACCCACAGTGGATCAGTGTGAAGAGTTCCATAGAATTACATGGTCCCATTTTTTTCTTCCACTTTTGCGTTAAAAAAAAAGCAGAAGAAAACCGTGCATCAGTGTGAAAGAAGCCTAACTGAGCAATAGAGAAACACCGATTAGTGCCTGCAGGGGCTCTGAGGGCCACACAAAAAGTGCCAAAGACCCACTGGTTGGGCACCAGGGATATCGAGAATTGCTTCACAAACTGGTTTGGACACTTTTCCTCAAATAATTTGTGCCTCCCCTCCTTGTTTTTTTTTTTTTTTTTCCCCAGAATAGTTTGTGGCTTCACCTGTCCCACAATGTTGAGATTTCCTTACAGCAGTTTGTGTGTCAGCCCCTCCGACAATGGTGAGGTATCTTCTGTTTGTTTTTCCGCCCCTCCCACAAGGCTCTTATGACGTCTCCTATGCCATGACACCACAGCACATGAAGGTAGCTGACCTCCTTTATTCATTTATCTTTCCATGTTTTCCAACTCACAGGTTGCAGTTATTCTGATGTGGAGTGCCTGAAGTTGGCTGGGACTCGCGGAGTCCCTGGTGATGCTTGCACAGCAGTCAAGATGATGGACAGCTTCGTCTGCCAGCATGGAGGCGGCTATGGAGCCATTCAGGAGTTTGCTGATCACGTTATCACTCTAATGGAGACCGGAAGATAAATGTAGCCCTGGGGGTCATTCTCTGAGATTTTGTGGATCGGGAACTGCAGACGGAAGTGTCAGTGCTGCATGAAACAAAGTTTACATAGACAGGTCCAGTGCCATGGCAATGGTGACCAGTTGACAGGCAGTTCTCACTATCTGATGTTTAATCCTGACTCAGAAATGTCCCGTTCTTCACATCACCAATGACCTTTTCATGCTGCTGGTTTTGTTTGTCTTTTGCTTCCTGCCCTTTGGCAGGTTATATGTGATGATTTTTATATTTTATTGTCTTTGTATATCACAAAACTTTAATTTCCGATCTATTATGTTAGAGATTTTAGGAAGATTTAATGTTCTATTCGCTTTACCTTTTTACTTTATTTTTATTAGGCCGGAAGATACCTGCCGCTTTGCATAGGACGGATTTTATATACAAACTGGTTGTTCACATGATGTGTGATTTTACTTGTCTATTTTAACTGTTTATAAGCAAAAGTCCAGCCCAGGAGAAACCACAGGGTGCCTGATACCCATCGTTATGGCTGGACGGGAACCCTCCAGTGTGCCCCTCTGAAACTGGCTCCACTTTGCTGCTGCAAGCTTAGCCTCCATGTTTTCTTGCTAAGCTCCTCCTACCAATTTTACTGTGCCCAATAAGTGTTTTTTGAAAGCCTTTTTTGGGTGAGGCGTGGCAAGTCCAGTAACAAAGTGAAACCAGGATCAGAGAGGTGCACAGAAGAGTCGTGGGTGTTTTTTTTTTTTTTTTTTTTTTTTTAATTTTAGCACTTACAGTAGTTTGTTTGCATAATCTATTACAGGCCCATCCAAAACTGCATCCAGTTCAGCTCTTACAATACGTGGAGGCAAAGTTTGCAGTAACAGATCAGTGTCTGTGTGGTTGGCTCATGCAACCTCCAGCCAGGTTCACACTGTCACTGAGCTGTTTGGAGAAGATAAATGAAAGCCTGTTTTGGGGCTGGAAGTGGTCACTTGACTTGGATTTAAGCTGGTGGCATCCATGACTGTGATCGACTTAAATTTTGAAGTGAGATGCAGACTCTGTGAAGGTCTTGAGCCGTATTTTGTTTACAAAGCTTGGGGAATTGTTGGTACTTTGTGCTAGGAAGTTGTGCAATGGGCTGTCCTTCCTTTTTTTTTTTTTTTTTTTAAATGTATTTTAATTATTGTGTCAGTTGTAATTATGGACATTTTATATGTACAGAAAAGGTTTTTGAGCTTGATAACAATTGAAATCAATGACTGCTTTATTTTACAGCATAATAAAGAGGAATAATGTGTCTGATTTTTGTCCTTGATTAGTGTTTGTGCCATGTCTTATGAAATGTCTGTTTTAGCTCCCATAGCACCCCTTTAGTTTTTAGGCAAGCCCACTCAAAACACATTTTTTTTTTTATTCAGTTTAGCTTTTGTAATACATTGATGCACGTTTGTAAATAGAAGTCTTTGCCTTTCTTCTGCTGTCCCCGTGGACCCTACCAAGATATTCAGCTATAATCTCCTCAATGCAATATTAAACACAAAAAATAAAGATGGAATTTACTGCAGCTTACTAATTGTTAGATGTATTAGCTGCCTTTTTAATAGTTTTCAGTATTTTTTTTTTTTTTTCTTTTATTTTTACCTGTTGATCCTGCCAGTAAGTCTGATATTTTTCAACTACCTTTAACCGCACAAGCTGTTTAGCAAAAGTGGCAGTTATTGTTAAATGGTTTGCCTTGATCTCTAATAGAGGTGCTTACATAGGTGCTCTTTGTTTATGTAAAATCTTTATCCCAAAACGAAAAAGAAACTGCTTAAAGTGTTAATTGGGGTCTATGTAACACTATATTCTCTCCCCAGATTGACGGTACTGCTGTCCAAAGGTGCCACTGTTGCTTTTTCCGTGGAGTGGAGGCACTTTAGGACAGAAAGTGTTTCTGGATCACCAGGTGAAAATAAAGGAAAGAAAACCTAAAAAAACAAATGCAGCCACCACATTTTAGGGTTTGTTTACACTTGCAGTGTAGGAACAGTAAAAACATAAAAACGTGGCTGAGCCATGTCTTTACTTCTCCTTTCCCTTAACCACTTGCCCTCCTCCACAGCCGTCACATCTATGAATAATATTTGCAACATAATGTTTTCTTTTGGGTTTAATACTTCTTTAAGCTGCAAAGGCAGCGGCTGGCAGTGTACACGGTGGGCACTACTGCCCACCAAACGTGACCTGTTCAAGTGAATGGGGCCACGCTGCAGCCGCGTGCCTTGCATGTGAAATTTAAAAGGGGTGTAGAGGAGGCAACATGTTGCCTCCTCACTGTCTGTCAAACGCTTCTGAAAAGTGATTTGAGTGTGGATCACTTTTCAGATGAGCAGTATGCTCCTTCTCCAGTAAAAGGCAGCATCAGTACACCAGTAAAAGGTGACAGCAGCATGTCAAGAATCAGTGTTTACAGCCAAGCTAAATTCCTGTGTCTGGGGGACTGCTGTAAGGGATCTGTCCCCAGTGAACTAAGCATTGCTCCAGCAGAGATGGTCTACTTGAGGGAGGAAGAGGAGGAACGTTAGGTTTGTGGAAGAGGAGGCACCGTCACGGGATGCTGTTAGAGGAGGCAGAGGTCTGGTTGGCTTCAGAATGGCTCAGGACCAACCTGCTGCACTCTGTATTTTTCTTTCTAATGTTCATTTGTTAGCTAATAAAATAGATGAGTTAAAACTGATTAACTATTGCATGAATGGCTGCATTATGGTGATAAGAGATGTGAGCGACATACTATTGGTATTGGGAGGCCCTGCTGCCTTGACTTGATTTTGATGTTAAATGATCCTTTTATTTTCCGAGGGAATTTTCAGCAGATTTCATCACAGCCGTCTATATTCACCCTTGAGCTAATGCCAAACTAGCCATGGGAAAACTATATGGTACTATCAGCAGACAACAAAACAAATTTATCAGAGAGGGGGACTTCAATTACTCAAATCTGAATGGAAAAAGTAGTGCTTACAGTACTTTTTTTTTTTTTTTTCTGCGTTTTACAGTGCGACTTCAAAATGAATGGCCTGAAAAACCAGTCCACATGAGAACATGAGTGCTCTCCTATGAACCGAGCCTAAACCACGGAATAGCAAGTTACTGGATCAGGTGAATACAAACATTTATGGATTGTGTAAGAGCTGTTCAGGTCCAATGCATCCCCCCTAGTATTTTAATGTGACCAGTGCGTCAGACTGCGAATGGCCCTGCACAGACCTGCTTCACCTAGTGTTTTTCTTGCTAATGCTTGTTTGTTAGCTAATGCACATACAGGGCCCTAAACTCTGGTACCACTCGGTACATTGTTCAGTCCCAGCCTGCCATGGACTTTGATAGGCTACCTGCAGTGAGGCAGGACGCTGCACCTGTCGCTACCAGGAACCTGCGTCTGGACAGGTTTGTGTGTAAACGACCTAAGGCAGCCCATAGGTGAGTCTTCTTTTTTTTCTTTTTTTTTTTTTGTGGTTCAATTCGAGGGCAGAGCCATACAAAAAAAATGTGCCTACAGTGTAAAGCACACACTGAAACTGCACACAGTTAACCCTTTGATCACCCACATTAAACATCTTCCTGCCCAGTGTCATTAGTACAGTATCAATGCTTTTTATTAGCACTGATCAGTGTATTGGTGTCACTGGGGATGTCAGTGACACCAAGTCAGTTCCCCCCAGTTTCAGAATGCCCACCGCAGTCCCACTATAAGTTGCTGATTGCCGCCATTACTAGTAAAAAAAAATTTAAATTCCAGTATATATACTGCCATTTTTGTAAAATCTCTAACTGTCACATAAACCAATTAATTTACACGTATTGGGATTTTTTTTAGCAAAGTCATGTAGCAGAATACAGTTTGCCCTAAATTTATGCCAACTTGATTTTTAAAAATTTTTTTTTTTTACTGGACATGTTTAATAGCAAAAAGTCAAAAATAGTTTTGTTTTTTTTTTTCCCTCAAAATTGTTGGTCTTTCTTTGTTTATAGTGCAAAAAATTAAAAATGCACAGGTGACCAAATACCACCGCGGGGAAGCTCTATTTGTGAGCAAATAAGGATGTAAATTTAATTTGGGTGCAGCGTTGCATGACCACGCAATTGTCAGTTAAAATAACGCAGTGCCATATCGCAAAAAAAAATGGCCTGGTCAGAAGGGGGTAAATCCTCTGGAGGGCAAGTGGTTAAAGCAGTAATAAATCCAAAAAGCAAATATTATATTGCAACTCACCAGTTCTTAGATGTGATGGCTGTGTTTATTTTCTTTTTTAAGCTTTCTTTCTTCTATTTTCACCTAGTGATCGAACTAGTAAATCTGTAGTTTTTTCAAAACCAATATCCTGAAAGTGGGCAGTGCATGAAATATATACAGAAAAAGAAATACAAAAAAGATACACATTTGGCTATTCGCTATGAAAACAAAAGGGATAAAAACAGAAATAAAACTGTACCAAGATTTATCCTGTGACTGGAGCAAGTCAGAAGTGTCTGTAATTCACCAGTCAAAGGGACCAGCTCTGTATGAATCACCCTGTCCATATCTCATGGTTCTCAATTTATTAAAATATGGATGTGGGCTGGAATTTAGACCTTAGCCAATCAACCCCGGGGGATGTTGCTGTCCCAGCCCACAGGACGTTCTGTGTTCTGAAGTAACCAAGATCAAATGGGCCCAGGGCGGTTCTGATGGCTGGGTCTGGGATAGGATTTCCGGCAACAGCATGTCAGTCTGATCGCGACTGTACCAATCACTGCCTGGCTGCTGCAATCAGGCACCCTATAACCGTTTTGTGTGTTTCTCTGGGATTCTACATGTGCTGCAAATACAGCTTTATATTTATATGTAGCCTAAAATGTGTCCAATCAGAAGGAATTATTTTAATCTCTCTGCAACTAATATTTTAGATTTTATGAGAGATAAAATAGATTCCTCTGCTCTGATGATATAAATCAATGCTGGCAGACATTTTTCGACCGTCTCACTGTCCTC